TGCAGTGAGGCTCTAGTAGAGCCCATTTTCAGATCAGTACTGGGTGTAGTAACCACATTTCCAAAAAAAAAAAAAAACCCAAAACCAACCAAAACCAAAACCAAGGTCAGCTCTGGTCACGAGCTACAGGAGCTAGCAAGAGCAGTAAGCACTCAGGAGCCAATTACTGCCACTTACTGGTAGGCTGGGCAGCCACACAGTATTTAGACTATACTAACTTACTTTTCACTTACACTGACTTATTTTTCACCACAGCAGACAATGTGGGAGAGAACCAGGATAGTTTCTGAAGAGGCCTGAGCACCATGCTGTTGGAGGAGTGGGACACGCAAGAAATACATTTAGCGGAGCTCAAATTTGTAAATGCAGAGTACATGAATACGTTCAGGAAGTTTAAGTTAATGGATTGTAATACTTTGCATTAATAAGGTGGAATCTCAAATGACCTGGCCATTGCATGATTTGCTTATAGTCTGCAACATAAGCTGTTGCTGATGTTATAAGGTACCCGAGCTACTTCTGGCAAAGCTGGTTTATTGAAAACAGACATCTCACAGTGCTGCAGAATACTAGTTTTTCAGGCTGCACCCTGAGCAGCCATCCCTCAGCTTATCCAACACTGCTGAAGTGCCTCCGGCCTTGGAACTGCTCTGGACTTTTTTCATGACACACACGCACACATACAAAATCTCCCAAATCCATGTTATGCTGGTTTTGAGCGCACACAGAAGGAACCTCTACAAAACCAGGTCATTATCGGGAAAGTGCCACACCGCCACTTCCCCCCCCCAGAACTACCAATAACCAAGCGACCGGCTTTTTGTAACTAACGCAACACATCGACGCCAACAAGGCTCCTCTGGGACACGCCGGCACGGGCGATGGGCTAAAGCCAGGCCTGACCCACGCCGAGCGGGGGGGATCTAAGGCGCCCCTCTCGACGCCCAGGAGCGCCCGGGCCCACGGGCAGAGGCAGGCCGCGCCCTCGGCAGCTCCCTGACGAAGCTGCCCCTCCGTGCGCGCCCGGCCAGCCGCGGCACCCCTCAGCCGCCCGGACCGTGCACCGCTCCTCCCCACGGCACAGCCGGCCC